TCTCTGTGAGTTCGAGGCCAGCCTGGACTACCAAGTGAGTCCCAGGAAAGGCGCAAAGCTACACAGAGAAACCCTGTCTCGAAAAAAAACAAAAAAAAAAAAAAAAAAAGTTGCAAGTCATTACCACAGCAAAGGATCACACATACTTTATAAAGCTAGCAAGCACTTGTTGCTGAGTTTTGTTTCTCATTTCTAGAGAACTGCACCTTTGCTCTTCATTCAGGCCTGGTTTAGGTGACTGCATGGAAATCAGAACTAATCCTCTGATGCTGTGGTACAGTTTCAGCAAGTTGGTTGCTGCCTTGAAACCCAGGGAATACAGCACCTTTGCCTGCTCTCTTATGTGGGGTTTTTTGAGATAGAGTCTCGTGTAGCTCAGGCTGGTCTTAAACTCACTGTCCAGTGGAGGAGACCTGGAGCTGACAACCCCTGGTTATTTATTCTTGGTACTTGTGAACACTTCTCAGTGTGAGCCAGCAGCTCACATGCAGCCCCGCACTGAGCTGACTCTTAGCGGTCTCACTCACTGGACTGCTTTCCCTTCTTGTGTCTTTCAGAAGTTTTGCACCGTCCCTACGGCTGTGACGCTGAATCTCAGGCACTGAATGAAGCTATCAGGTGGAGCTCCAAGGAGAACTTGCTGGGAGCCACTGAGAGTGACCCTAATCTCTTTGTCGCACTTTATGACTTTGTGGCAAGTGGTGATAACACACTCAGTATCACTAAAGGTGAGACTTCTCCCCATTCTGCTTCACAGTTTTCTCTGGCGGCCGGTGAGAAATGAAGGCCTGTGCCGCCTTCTGCCACTACCACTGACCAGATGATTGTGCCCAGGCAGTTCTGCTTCCTTCTCTCTTTCACCTGTGTCTGGACGGCCGTCAAGAAAGAGTCCATATTGGTAGAACTTTGTTCTCTAAACCCGCCGCTTCCTTCTGTTTACACTGACCTGTGATTGAGACAAGCTGCAGTGCAGATCCCCACTGGCTCTCAGGTCCTCTGTGTGGACTGATGGCTCTCTGCAGACTGGTACAGTCCACAGTGGCATCAGGAACTTGGACCCATCTCACTGAAGTGCACTTCTGTTTCGGGTAGCAACATTTTCAGTTTTTGGAGCAAGACTTTGTGTAGAGAGAAAGTCGTCCAGTGCTTACATCGGGTGCATGGTTCTTATTTTGTTGTTGTCCAGCTCAGTTGCCCTGGCCTAGACAACCAGTTCTTTCTATGGGCTGGCGAAAGAACAGTTAGGAAGGACCTGTCTCTCCTACTCTAATGTCTTTAGAGAGTAAATGAGATTTTTTCAGAGGCCAGTTCTTATAAAAAGGAAACACTAAGAACAAGACCAGATAAAATCACCAATCATTTTTTGAACACCAATGAAAATAGCGGAACTTTTATGAGAAAGAATAAGAGTGGGGACATTATCGTTCATTTTGCACATGAATTGGGTTAGACTAGTCCGCCTGTACTGGGTGTTTGTTTGTTTGTTTGTTGGTTGGTTGGTTTTTTCTCTTTTTTGGGCGAGGGGAATAGGGGAGTTGTAAAGCCTCCCACTATGAGGAAAATTTATCTCAAAATAATACTTAAATGAAATTATAACAAGCGATTATTTCTCAGACAGATTATTTCTCAAATACCTTGTATTTATAAGGTTCAGAATGAAGCAGTTAGTGGAAATGATGATACTAAGTCAGGCCAGCAGGCCTCCCCTGACCATGAGGAAATATTTCCATATAAGATTTTTACAAATATTCGTTAAATTTTGGAACCCCATGCAAGCTAGGCAAGTGCTCTCCTGAAGAGCTACAACCCCAGACTCAGCATATCACTTTTTAAGTGCTATCAAATTCACTAAAGCAGAATTCCTTAAAACTGAGTTTCTTAAATTGTGTTACATGGATTTAATCCATGTGTACGAGCCTTTTGCCTGACTTCTTGCATGTGTACCACATACGTGCTTGGTGCTCCATGAAGGTCACGAGAATGGTTGCATCTCATGGAAATGGAGTTACAGGTGGTTGGGAGGTAACATGTGGGTGCTGGGAATCTAGCCCAGGTCCCCTGGAAGAGCAGCTAGTGTTTTAAGTGCTGAGCCATCTCTCCGCCCCCAGACTGAGTTTCTCAGACTGGAGTATAGGCATGTTCAGACGGTGTACATGCACATGCACATAGGAAGGAGGCATAGGAAGGTGAAATGCAGGCTCTCCTCTGGTCAGCGTGAGATAGATAGGTATGCATGCGAAGGTCATGGTTATTCTTACCTAAAGTTTGAGGCTCAAACAAAGGACTTCAAGCCATGTTCTGTTGTGTGGTAGTCCCTTATATGGTAGTGTTCTCTGTGTACTTGTTTGCAAAGCAGTGATTAAGAACATGATTGGCTAGGAACAATTTTCTCATGAGTATTTTCCAAGATGGTTCATTCACCAAGGAAACATTAATAAAGTCTTATTAATTTCTCAGTTACTAGTTATAGCAACCATTAGTATGCTGCTCAAGGACTGGGATTCCCTTTATCTCATGATTGACAATGGTTTTTCTTTAAAAACCATGACATTTTTATATTGTTTTTTTATTAATAAAAAGATGTTAAACTGGGTGGCAGTGGTGGCGTACACCTTTAATCTCAGCCCTTGGGAGGCAGAGATAGGCGGATCTCTGTGAGTTCAAGGCCAGCCTGGTCTACAGAGCGAGATCCAGGACAGGCACCAGAGAGAGAGAGAGAGAGAGAGAGAGAGAGAGAGAGAGATATGTCATGCTGAAGCCTCATTGTTGAGTTGTTATTTTTAATGAGGCAGGGTCTCCTGTAACCCAAGCCTGATCTTTACACAAATCTGGGTAGCTTTGAACACCTAACCCTCCTCTCTTTACATTCCAAGTGTTGGAATTAGAGGTGTTTGACATCATGTCTGCCTTTCTATAGTTTTAAGGAAAAAGAACTATCCTTTAAAAAGAAAATAATACTTACTATAGTTTTTCTTTTGAAAGTGATGGTTGGCTTAAATTAAATAATGAAACATTTTGGGGCTCAGTGGTTTACAAGCACTTGCTGCTTCTGCAGAGGACCCTGGTTCAAATCCTGGCACCCAGTGATAACTCATAAAATCTGATACACTCTTCTAGCTTCTTCAGGCACCATACACATACATGGTACACATACATACACACTGGCAAAACATTTATACACATTAAATAATAAATGTGTTTTGAAAAAAGTTTGATGTTGACTATGTGGCTTTTGCTTGAAATTCCAGCATTTTGAGATACTAAAGCAAAAACATGTTGGCCAGGTAGGCTACAGAGTAAGACTCTGTCTTTAAATGAAAGTTGTAGAGAAAGCAGTATTGGGTACCTATAAGCAGGAGGCTTGAGCCCAGGGGACTGATATTATCTATCCGTGGATGACAGAGTGAGACCTCCCCCATAGCAAAAATAAAAAAGTTCTTTCTAAGATTCCTGTCCTGACCTG